AAACACCATGGTGCAGGACACAGAGAGGAATGCAGGTGTTCATTAGGGGGGCTGTATGGAAGGGAACCCTTTTGGCACCAGTCCATACGGCCGGAGGTTGAGGGGTGTTGTCGAAAACTAGCCAAGCCCATCGTACCCATTGGGATAATATTACGGTTATATTGGGGTTATATAGGGGTAATGGAAAAGAAAATGGAAACTACCATAGTACATTTAGGATGCTGAGAAGGCATGGCTACATTGTGGACTCGGGGCCGTTGTCTAGGGTTCAGGGTTTAGGGTCAGGGTTCAGATGGGTTCAGGGCTTTGGTAGTCCCACACTTCCTGTTGTGATTCCGATTTGTTCAATGTTGTAATTTGTTGATCAGGTCCTGGCCAGGTAGTTGCGCGTGAGAAGAGAGAAACCCTAAATCCTAAACCCTAAGCCCTAAACGACCAAGATCCGATCCATTAGAGTGAGGCCGAGTCCATACACACAAACGCCTTTAGCGCTACGGATTCCCATCCCCGCGCACCTGCGCGCCATAAAGCCTACTGCATCGCTTTTGCACCGAGCCCCCTTCCTTATAATGCGGAGCAGCCAGGCCTCCGTCATCAATGACCCTTTGCGTGGAAGCCGGTTGTTGCGAGGACAGCCGCTGGCTTAGCACGCGAGCACTGTATGATTGTTCGGGATTGGCATTCTGCCAGCAGGACGCCCCAAAACAAGTCCTTCAAAGACTGCTCTCCCTCCCTGGAAGGAAACCGTGTGAAGTTGCAGGTTGAGGAGCGGGTAGGGCATCGGATCAGGGAGTTGGATTTGATTCCTCACTCATCACACTGACGTCTTAGTGATCCCGATACAGCGGCTGACATGCAGCGCTTCGAAAACCATTGGCTGTAGTAACTATGGTTGCCGGTGTTTTTCTGATCCATCATGAGTTCCTCTACTACACCCCCTTACAACCCATGGGTTCTCTTTTCCTGAGGTTATTTCAGTGTTATGAGGGTCATCGTTACGAGCCTTTGCTTCTCCCACGAATCGACTCCATGCGTGTTTAGCTCCACTGAAGCAACCCTCTCTGCTGGCAGCAAATGAAGAAGCTTGACCCTTAATGGGAAGCCCTGTGCCCTACCCGAAGGTTGAGGGTAATTGTTTACCGAATGTTGATTGCTACTTACCCTGTTATAAGAAGTTGCTAAGTCCCATAAACGTTCACGTAGAGAGGGTGCGCCCAATGCTCACCTGATCCTTGCCATAATCTCTCCTGAGCCCTAAACTGCCCAAACATACCCTAAACCTCAAACCCTGAACCCTGGAACCGAACCCTAAATCCTGCATCCTAAGCCCTAAACCCAGACACTAACAACAACCTTTCCTTTCCCAAGCTCAGGTGGGAAGGCCTTGGAGAGTTCGTAGAGACTGTTCGGGAAAGCGCCCAATGGATGCAGTGAGCCAGGTGTCCCTTTAATCGGGGTAAAAAAGGGGTATATAGGGGTTAGGATTTAGGGTTCAGGGGCATATAGGTGTTATAGGGGTATATAGGGGGGATGTAAGGTTTAGGATTTAGAGTTTAGGGTTTTCCAAAATTAGGGGTACGTACCTTTCTGGGGTCCCAATACTTAGGATTGTAGTATTCCGGGGTCTATATTGAGGTTCCCCTATGTTGGGAAACTGGTCGGAATATGGGTGGGCTCTTGGCTTTCAGTCTGCAACTGCAGAGTCTGACCGTGTCGAATGTATCGGTCCGGGCTGCAAGGGGGCATCTTGCCGGGGATTGGGGCATAGGGCCGCCGGTTGCAGATTAGAGTTTAGGATTTAGGGGCATGTTGGATGGACAATGTACAATTTACTGTTTGTATGTCCCAGGACCTTCCTTGTACCCTTAATTGGGGATATATGGTCCCTAATAGTGGGTACTTAGGCCCTAATAGAGGGTAGGAGGAGGGTCTAGGTCTTTTCTTTGTCATTCAGAGCTTCCAGGAGATTAGGATGGAAGAGTGAATATCTTTGCAGACTCTTGACCTATGGCCTCTTTGAAAGTCTGCCGTTGTCTTCAGACATGCGAAGTAGAAGTCGAGTCCTTTTCTGGGGCTTGCAGAATTGCAGGGTGCCATGTTGTTTTTTGAAGCAAGGGACATGTGCTCTCAATTCAATGTTTGGACACAGCCATAGCCACTTGATCAGTTCGTGGGGATTCCGTCGTGGTTATGTTTCTGTCTCCACACTTCCCAAAGCACGCGCCGCTGCCATCACTACCCACCACACCAACAGCCCCGCCACGGGCAATCTCACTTCATGTGTGGGGGCCGCGGTCATGTTTCGTGGACATGATCTGAGAATGCTCGACTTCACCAAGAATTCAATCACCCAAAGGGTCCATGTAGGTATATGGTATATACTTGGGCTTTAACGTCGTGGGTATATGGGAACCTTTTTGGGCCCTAAGTGTATACCCTTTACCTACATGGAATGTTTGGGTCAGTACCTTGCCGGCTTTACAGGACAACATCTTTTAAATGCAAGCGGGGGAGGACTGTCATTTTCACCTCCTTAGATGCTTGGAAACCTGCAGATGAAGTTAAAAGCTTTTAACCCGCTAAGGCAAGTACAGAAGGGGAGTTACGATTTAGTGACTTTACGTAAGCCTTATAGATATTCCTTATATCACCCCCTCCTCTATATACCCTTAAACGCTGAACGCTGAACCATACGTTCCCCCAACCATATGGAGATTCCCCTCATGTAATTGGCCACAACCCAAACAGCCAACCTTCAAGCCCTCAATCCCCACGCGAGTTTAGGGTTTAGGTGCTTAGGGACCATGAGTTTGCCCTCGGCCCAAAACCTGAGGAGCCACCCCAGCAGCCCCTTCACATCCACATTGGTTGATGCCCCCTGCACCCCGCATCTCGTCGAAAACCTTGCATGAAGTTGGGCCGAAGAACTTGCGGCACAAATCCAAAAATACTTTAACTTATTGAAAGTTCTCGTAAGATGCCCGAAAGTGATTTCCCTCGTGTTGAGCACCTCCCTGAAAGCATTATTTTCCGCATTACACTAAGGTTGGGGAGTTGAACGATCAGCGCGATGATGCCGCATGCTAAGCACAGTACCTAACGCTTGCAGGATTGCGGGCCGTAGGAACTCAAGATGGAAGGCCGACTTAGGCCCTAATAGCGGGTAGGAGGAGGGTCTAGGAGGTTGAAAGCGCAAGAGGTTTTACTCGCAATTGGCTGCCCTTTTGGTGCTATAATACCTTGCACTAGCTGTAGTGCACCATCAGTCCAGACAGCTAGTTCAGAATCGTGCGGAGCTAGTGTCGTGCATGGTGTCCGGTCCGACCTGCTCTGCGGAGCTCTTCAGGGGCTTTGGCATGGGAGTCTATTTTCCTCTTGTTCCGCAGCTTTTATGCAAAGTCGTAATTTTGGCCAGTCTTTGAAATCGCTTCCTGTGAGGCATCCTACTTGCAGGAACACGACAATTGTCTTGCGTTTACGTGGTACATGTGGACCGTCAGGACCATGATCAGCTACCTCTGCTTCGACAAGCACTATACTTGTTCCTGCTATCACTAATGCCCTCTCCGATGTTTCTAGTAGCACTGCTACTACTACTCCTACAACTCCAATCCATCGCAACCCGATGCGCGGCTGCAATTGTGATAGCAACAGCACCGGTGCCAGCCACCAACGCTGACACCACCACTGCGACTATTCCTGCCGTCACTACTACTGCTACTATTTGGGAATAAAAAGAAAAATATGATCTATCCCTACAATCCCCCTACACAAACACAGTTTCCATGTTATTTTCCATTTTCTTTTCCATTTGATTCTCCATTATAGTAATAATGCCCGAAACTGCTAATTTGCTGCTTTAGTTATTGTTGTCACCCTCGACCCTAAACCAGCAATAATCTAGGGCTATATAGGGATAATGGAAAATAAAATGGAAACTACTATAGAATATTGGGGCTATATAGGGATAATGGAAAAGAAAATGGAAACTACTATAGAATATTGGGGTTATAGAGGACTAATGGAAAATAAAATGGAAACTACTATAGAATATTGGGGTTATATACGGACTAATGGAAAAGAAAATGGAAACTACTGTAGTGGTTTGCACATTCCTTTCCATTCCTCTAGATGCCCACATGTAGCCCTAACCTGATTTGGAAGACTTGTTTGTATACCAGGAACCAGGCTGCAGCACTTCATAATAGGAATTTGAGCCATGTGGCTTTAAGGAGTCGAAGGCCGTGCTAAGTATTTGCGCACCTTTCTCAGGAGTCTGAGCCAAACCACAGACATCACAAGTGCAACATCACGTTCCTCAACTGTCCCTTTTGTTCTGTTTCTTGAAGATCCCAAGCTCCGCATGTTTTTAGATTTGATCACATACAGCTAACTTAGGCAATGACATTTCAGGTAGAGACATCTGACCTGGTAACTACGTGGTTACTTATTTGGTAGTTTCCCAAAATAGGGGTACCCCAATATAGACCCCAAAATACTCTAATCCTTGTTATGGGGACCCCGCAAAAAGGTACCCCTAATTTTGGGAAACCCCCATTCTATTTGGAGTCCGATCTTTTGGCAAGCTTGTGCGTTCGGCCATGGAAAGCCTTCTCAACAGAGCGTGCAAGAAGCGGAAGCGGTCAACACAGACGGAGATCAGTTTGGGAGATTCTCCCAGGGAGCTTCGTGGAAACGTTCCTGCCCCTGATCTTCTGAAAGCGTTTGAGATTGTAAAGCTGAATGTGGGAGGTCATGAGTATGTCACATCACTGAGCACGCTGCGACGAGTAGAGGGCAGCATGCTGGCAAGGATGTTCGAAAGTGAAATTCCTTCGGCCACCACCGGTGGTGCTTTTTTCCTTGACCGTGATGGTGAGCTGTTCGCATTTATCCTCTCCTACTTACGAGATGGCACCGTGGAGCTGCCAAAGTCACGCACCAAGCTGCGTCAGTTAGAAAGAGAGGCCGGGTTTTTCCTTCTCCCAGGGCTACAGCACATGCTGCGCTCAAAACTGTCAGAGGTGCATTTGGAAGTGAAGCTTTTTGCTGAGTCATTCGGATGCACGGAAGAGCATTGCAAATGCGGATGCAACCGATTAGCCCACCCAGAGGCCTTCAGCGATCTTGAGCTTGAAGCGATGGATTGCGCTGATCTCGAATGGATGGGCCATCCGTCCTCCTCGCTGCGACCAGAATTCAAGGTTCCTGTGTCTATCCACCGTGTGTGCCTCCAAGCTTTCGTGCCTGGCAATGCCAGCGATGGTTGTGTTCGCGTGCACTGCCATTACAATCCCAAGTGTTTGGGTGAATACATGTCTTGCGGTTTCTTCAATGGCCATAAGTTGTACAAGAACAATGACGGAGCCCACATCTTCTACAAGGATGGCAAATGGAGGATCAATATAGATGAAGCAACCGACGCTTGGATCATGTCTTCTCAAAACGACGTAAGCTCAGACACGCCCCCAACTGGGCTCTGGTTTGGCTCAGATGCAGGCATGTGCCTTGTGGACGGCGAAGAAGTTGCTCAACCAGAGGGTTCAAGCCTACAGAAGGCCATTCAGATGGTAAAGTCACAACTACGGGAGACCTGCTGCCAGGAAAGATCTGCCCTGACAGACATGCAGCAAGAGATCGAGGACGTCCTCCGCGCTTTCATCAAGAGTCCTGACCTATCGTACCGGCAGCTCTATTTTCAAGCGGGTAAGTACGAGGTGGGAGAGCGCTATGACCCAAGAACGCAGCGCAAACATTTCTCAACTGCCATAAAGATGGAGCTTAAGGTGCTTCACACTTCCTAGTGCTCAGGCCTGTGTGGTCCTCTGGAAATGGGGCCCTAAGGGTCCAAGTACCCAATAATCATAAACTCACCCAAAGCCTGTACCACAATTTCTATTACCCCAAACCCAAGTACCTAATTATTGGGTACTTAGACCCTTAAACCCTATATGTCCCTATATACCCCTATATATCCCCTTTAAAGGGACCTAATTATTGGGTACTTGGACCCTCTGGGGGGCTGTTAGTTCGTTTCGGAGCGGCCAAACGCTCATGGTCAGCAAAAGCTCTGAAGTCCAGACGGAGCTGGAAGTGGATTTAGGGTTTAGGGTTTAGGGTTTAGGGATTGCTGGTAGCATTTGTTGTGAAGTAGTAGTAGCCCTAAGGGTCCAAGTGCTTGATAATAGTATACTTACACAAAACCTGTACTACAGCTACTGGTATCAAAATTCCAAGTACCTAGTTATTTGGACCTTTAGGGCAGCAGGAAAAGAAGGAGGAGATCTGAGGCTGACGGTCTACAGACCATGACAGCATTACTGGACATTATAGGGTCCTAGGGTTTAGGATTTAGGGTCTATGGTTTAGGGTCCTAGGGTTTAAGGTTTAGTATGTGCAGCGATAGTCTTCCACCCAAGACCATAATCATAAAACAGAATCATTATTTTACGAATGACAGTTGCTAAGAAGCTATCCTAGGCCAAAGCATAGAACGCTAGATCGTAAACTGCCCGGATCTGCGCATCCCTTTCCTGGGTTGTTAGGGTCCAGAGTTCAGGGTTGTGGGTTGATGGTCCCTAACCCTCAATCCCTGTGCTCCGAACTTCTACAAAAACTGCCCTTCCACCTAATAGTTGTTTCAGACGTGGTGAAAGTGCAGACCACGTTGTCCCCCCCCCACACACCACGTTGTCCCCCCCCCGAACACACAAACCTTCACCGTACCCAGGACGCCCTCGGTCCGTGTCCCATAATTAAGGACACAACTAAGGAGTCTACCCGACATTTGAAGACTTAACAAATGATATGATTTCGGGCTTAAACCTGGCCCTTAGAGTCCACGTACCCAAGTATGGGGTATTTAGGTGCCACAAACCATTCTGATCATAGCCTTGCGGACCTAAACCGCAGTCCTTGTGTACTTGGATCTTCTGTCATTTCCCCCTAGATGCTGGTAATTTCCTTCTATCACTTATATCCACATGAGAACCCCTATGATGTCCCTAGATTAGGGGGATTTCAGGGTGCGACCGATCCGGCAACTGTCGCCCGCCAGAGGCCTAGGTTTACGGCAAGCTTAGTTTGTTCATATGGTGTATGACAAGGATTTATCGGGACTTTTGGGGGTATATATATATATATATACATACAGAGGGTTGTACAAGGTTAAAGGATACAACCGCCTATCATATGGAATCAAACGGACAATGCGATGGAAACTAGTGGTGCTTAGATGGGGAGTGGTGAACACGTAGTGAACCCTACACAACCGTACATACCCTGAAATAGAGGTTAGATTATGTTCGCTCTCCCGCTCTTCCAAGCACCAGTGCAGGGCACCTGCTTGTGTTCCGGGATATTAAAGGACATGACATGGGTATTTCTTGGGTCTGTGTATCGTGCGACATACAGGTTCCGTTGATATTGTGGAGTGCGATTGGGGGTGTGGTTGAATTCTAGGGCAAAGACGCAGAGTTTTGCGACCCCCGACAGCTTGGTCGCAGTTTCATGCGGCTGCCAGGCAAGGCGGTTCTGGAATAGGTACTGCGAAGGAGACTGTAGCCCTCTCAGCATGAATTATGTGAGCTGTAGTCTGAGCGCCTTAAAGTGAATTACATAGGGGACTACTATAGGGCTTATTACGGGCGGTACTAGGAGTTCAGACTGTAGCTCATGTAGGATGACTACCCCTGTAATCGTCTCTAATTAACCTGGAGCAAGCTCGAAAATTACCACTGTGGCGCCTACAGAACATGGTGAGGACACACCTGCAAGAAACCTTACTGAATGGTGGTTTCCCAAACTGGGGAGGGGGTACCTTTATGAGGTCCAATCAATAAGGACTAGCATATTGGGGTCTATATTGTGTTCCCCTGTTTGGGGAAACTACTGAGCTTGTGGAGCCACAACCCACCACTCAGGTAGCGCCCTCTCACACCAAAGTTTGCAGCTATCGCTTTCCTTGTTCGGAGACCTCTCTTTTTGGGGTGACATGCGAGGGCCTTAATAGAGTGACGTGTCAGAGTGGGTTCCAGAAGAAGCAAGATTTTTGTCAAAAGCGAAAGTATTCGGTGACCTTGCTCGCATGCATACCCCGTAGATAATCCTCGTTTAAGCTATATAGTCTAAACTCCTTAAGGGGGGTTCTGCAGGGGATTATACAGGTGAGTATTGTAGGGGTTATGAAGGGGGATACTGGGAGTTTAGGCCTAATCCTGAGTGCCACTGAGGCATCGATGAGCTCATCGGTCAAGTCCCCGACGCTTCCGAGTTTACGCTGGGAACCTACTTGACTGGCATCCAGGGCTTGCTGGAAAGTTCTGCAACCTATGAGCCATAATCTAAACTTCTAGTATCGTCGTCAAAGCCCTCTAGTAGTCCCTTATATTATCCCCTAGATAAGCCTCTTTAATGAGTTCAGAATACGCCTCATATAGGTGTAAGGGTCACTATAGGGATCTAGGAGGGATGTCGTGGGAGTGGAAGAGAACATGGAAGCTGCTGTAGTAATTGGGATTCAGGTGTCCTAGAGAGAGTACCTAGAGGGCCCAAGTACCCAGAGGACGGGGTTCCAGGTCCCAAATATCATAGTGTATACTTGTTCGTGGCACCCAAAACCCCAGTATTGGGTACATGGACTCTCAGGGCATACCAGCCCTACACCGTCAACCCTAGGGTTTAGGGTTTAGGGTTCAACCCTAAATCCTAAATCCTAAGCCCTATGTGAAAAGGTTCTCTAAGACCTGGCTTCCAGGTTGCTGTAGTATGCCCTGATGTAGGAGAGGTCCATCCTTTTGCGTATCTTGATGGGGGTTAGTCCGGTTTGGCGTTTAGGGCTTAGCGACTAGGCTTAAGGGATTAGGGGTTCGGGATTAGGGTGTAGGATTTAGGGTTTAGGGGTTAGGGTATTTATCTTACCCCTGGTTAGCTGGGAATGAAGGAATGGACAAGAAAACGGAAACTACAAT